CCCTTAAGCTTTGCCATGCTTCAGATTCGTTGCTCTAGATTGTACCGATTGGGGGGCCCGAGAGGCCGATGCCAGATTTGCTGTTGCGTAATCAGAAGCCAGTTGTCTCCGAGGTTTGTTTTGATAATAAATGTTGACATGACCGGCCAATTGGCCTAGATATGTGTTCGAAATTTCGCTCCCACATTTCTTCATCTTGTTATATGAGAACCGAATGCCTCGAGCATATGCTTGCGAGCCCTCTCAATACCAGAAGAGCCACCTAGTGTTGACGTCTGCTGCTCTTGTGTCCATAAATTGCCTTTACCCACAGACAACTGTATCCTCCCAAGTATCTAGTCCATCCGCAGTGGACGCCATTCTTAGGAACCTCTGGTGGAGCCGGTAGTGGTTGCATGAACAGAGTACTTGTATTCAGTACTTTAACCGTTGTGACAGAGAAGCTGGAAGCCGGGTATCAATTTTTTTTAGTTCTGTCCGGCGATCTCTCCAGCTCTAAACCGTATCTCCCTTTGCTGGGACCATACGCGATGAGTCCGGAGTGGGTTCAAGTCATGGATAGGGTAGCCGGGGAAGCCGTTGCAGAGCCACAGTCAATTTTCCTAGTGGACGTTTAGCACACGCTGGAAATAATTTCATTAAACAGAAAGATATGCGATATTGTCACGTTTTGAGTCGCGTAGTTCACAAATCAATGAAAATGGCTATTCCAGAATGCCAGGAGGCAAAAACGTAGACGCACTTTGTACTCAGTTCTTATCTGACCCGGAGAGCTGAGAGAGCCGAGTGAGAGAACAAAATGAGCATTATTGGATACAGCAGTGAGGACCGATAGTAGAAACAAAAACTTTGTATCCAGTCATGGAAGGTATTCTGGAAGAGTCACAGTAATGTCAGACCCGGAGCATGATTTAAATTGTGATGAGCTAGGGTGACAAGTCCGTCACCGTTGGTGACTAGTTAGTTAACTAGTTACTATGTAGTAACATAATATGCAGTATGTTACTGCCGGTCGGCGAAGGTGACCGCTTTCTGCAAGGAATTCACCGGCTTTGAGCCTCTCGGCCTTACTGTAGTTGCTCATGACCCCGGGGATTTTCTTATCGGGATTTAATGATCAAATTTCTCAACAAAACTGTAAATATCCATAGACAGATAAATACACGGTCCATGCCTGGGATTATCAGAAGACAAACCGACTGCCTGAGTAGAAAGTATTTTTGATGATGCGTTGAATCCGGTGACATAGGGAATCCTAGGGATCTGCATCTCTCTTCCCTAAGGAGTATGACGGAGTTAGGCCTCCTTGCTTATTAGACTGAGTACTCCGTACTCTTTTTCTCTCATTCTTTCGGTGGGTATAAACCCATGATGGATGATTGAGAAGAAAATAAAAAGGCTCCGAATCGGTGGCTCTCCGTTTAGTGGTTTAGTGGGCACCGGAGACCGAGAGCACGTGCCTTGGGCAGGCCAGCTCCGAAGTCCGGACCCTTCTTAGTGTTAATAGAGATATTATCTAATATCCCCCCGGCGCACCACCCCACCTTCTCCGTCCTCCGTCGCTCTGTTGGCTTGCTTTCCGCTGGCTGATTTACTAGTCCGGACTTTCTTTCTTTCCCTTCTTCCCCTCCTCTCTCTCTCTCTCTCTCTCTCTCTCTCTCTCTCTCTCTCTCTCTCT